GTTGCTAACAACGGACATATTCATTTTTACGCTGAGCGTCTAAAAGCGCTTAGCGTAATGACGTTAATTTTCGTCTGACGCGTTTAGCGTCTTTAGTGATTGCGCTGAGCGCTTTGAAAACGGTTGCCTTAAAGGATCGTTTTGCTTGTCGAACTGTCAGTGAAAATCAAAAAAATTGTGATTTGGGGCGTTATCTTGCTCTTTAGTGAAAATTACTACTTCTTCTATAAATGCCTCAATAAGTAATTGGTAATTTACGACTTGGCAGCTATAACTATTGTTAAAAACATCGAAAATGCTGAGAAGACTCTTCAACACTTCCCTCGTATAATAAGAATAATGACATATCTATAGAAAAATAGCTTGACATAACTCAACAATAGGTTATGAAATTCACGTAACATTGACATTTTTCATTGTTATATTCGTCAGTTATCAACTTTTGACTATTAGCTACGTTAGAAATTGTGATGTTGCCAATATGTGCTCAACGCGTATCCAGAACACGATTCGCATGGCAACGAGAATACCAAAATCGACTGCCTTGCGTTTCGCTGATCGAATACTTGCGCTTACCGCTTTGAAAGCGTAACATTTTTATGTCAAAGTTACAGAATACAGGCCCAGGCAGACATATACCGGGTGTTGCATCGTCGGCGTCGTTGGGAACATAGGAAATCTCATGCAAAATTTGAACTGTCCAGATATTGGCTCCCCTATGGATTTTATAGCGAAGTCGTAAATAGACTTTTTAAAGGTCTACATTTTGTAAACACACATGCCAAATTTGAACAATTTTGGACAAGCCGATTTTAGGTAATTTGAGAAAAACTTAATCGATTTTTAAATTAAAACTGAATAGGTAAAAATGAAACACCACGTAAGTTAATTTTAATAAAATTTTAATATTCAGTACTAGTAATAATTTATTGTTATACTCATAAAGAAAAAGTGAACATGATAAAATACGCGGGAAATAGATTAGATAGTGTATCTGACATGTTTCGGTTAATTTTCCGTAAATATTAAAATTTTATTAAAATTACTTTTGACAATGACAAAATCATAGTTTGTAAACCTAAGGTATGTCAGTTTTTGACTAGTGTTTGATTGTTACCTGTTCGGTTTTAATATAAAAATCGATTAAGTTTTTCTCAAATTACCTAAAATCGACTTGTCCAAAATTGTTCAAATTTGGCATGTGTGTTTACCAAATGTAGACCTTTAAAAAGTCTATTTACGACTTCGCTATAAAATCCCTCCCCTATGGATTTTATAGCGAAGCCAATATCTGGACAGTTCAAATTTTGCATGGGATTTCCTATGTTCCCAACGACGATGCAACACCCGGTATTTACTTGGGCAGGGAATTAAACAGCCAGCTAGACCACTTTAAGAAAATCAGAGGAAGGATTAAAATAGCTAGGGCTGGTTTCCTCAATATGCGGAAGTTCTTGCGCCATCTGAGAATAGCTATACCAACGAGGCTAAGAACAATAAAATGTTGTACAGGGTGGTCCGAACTGTATTCGGGAAACTTCAGCAACATATTTTGCATATAAAAATAAGTAAAAAAGTTCGTATAAATGTACGTCCGAAAATGCTTAGTTTCCGAGATACAGGGTGTAGAAGTTTCATTTTTATTTCGATTTTTTCCAAATATTTTTTGAACTAACGTCAATATTTGGATCAAAATCGGTGTCTAGGAGTTTTTTGACATGAGAAATTTGATTTTGATGTCAATATGACTCCTACTTATAGAGGGCGCCACCTACATATTTTTAACCGAATTTGAAGAATAATAACTTCTTGTCCGTACCTGTATAAAAGTACTGAGTAAAAGAATATACATTTACGACGTTTTTTACGTAAAACAAGTCTCTTGGTAAAAATCGCTATGAGTAATGGTTCTCAAGATATTTTGAATCGAAATTATCAATACCTGTCATCATTCACATAAATTAAACATGATGTTGACTAAATAGTTATTAGACTGAAATCATAAATTTGAAATGTTTTTGTGCCAAAAGTTCAACAGAAACTGTTTCATCATCATTTTTTCGAAGGAAATTTTATGATTAATTAAAAAAAATAAAAAGCTCCAAAATTTAATATTTCAGTGAAATATTTTATCTACCCAACCCTTTTATTTTTTGTCAATGACATGTATTGACTATTACCATTCTAAATATCTTGAAAACGGTTGCTCGCAGCGATTTTTATCAAGAGACATTTTTTACGTGGAAAATCACGGAAATGTTTTTTTTTCACTTAGTAGTTTTATACAGGTACGGACGAGAGAAAAGTTATTACTCTTCAAAACAGTTAGAACACATGTAGGTGGCGCTCCCTACAAATAGGAGTCCTATTGATATCAAATTCAAATTTGTCATGTTAAAAAACTCCTAGTCACCAATTTTCATCCAAATATTTATGTTACTTCAAAAATTATTTGGAAAAAATCGAAATAAAAATGAAATTTCTACACCCTGTATCTCCGAAACTAAGCATTTTAGGACATACATTTATACGAACTTTTTTACCTATTTTTATCTGCAGAATATGCTGCCGAAGTTTCCGGAATACAATTCGGACCACCCTGTATATGGCCCCTGCTTCAATATGGATGCGAAACATGGACGCTAAAACAAGAAGACATCAAACGCCTTAATGCATTTGAAATGCGGATGTATCGTCGGATGCTGAGGAAAAGTTGGACCTCCAGAACAGCAAACTGTGAAGTTTTACACAGAATGAAAACTCGTGCACACCTAACAGGAACAATTAAAATCAACAAGACTTCCTACCTTGGGCACATAATGCGGCACTCAGAATATGAGGAAATACAGCTCATAATAGAAGGAAAAATCGATGGAAAACTTAGCATAAAGGAGGGCGCGCACTGAATGGGTAGCGGCGCGAGCGAGCGGCACGTAATTTTCAGCTTACGTTGAAATAAATGTAAGCCCGCGCACCGCATTAGATCGGTGCGCTTCGAGCTATCGGCGCCATTCGAGCTATCGGCGCCATCAGGCGAAATCAGAGAATGCATGGGAGGGGGACGAATAGTCTACGCCGAGCGACTATTTTTAGTGGAGCGGTTTTACATTAAACATGTCCGATAAATTATTAATCGAAAGTGTACGAGACCATATCATACTTAATATGCGGTTTTTTATAAAAAATTCTTAGAAGCACGTAACCTATATTGTTTACTACCCTTATTCAATAACTGAATTAGAAAACCTTCCGATTAAACCCATTTATTTCTCATATTTCATTATATCTCATTTCGTTTTGATTATCTCATATTATTATGGAAATCGAATTTAAATATCGTCAAAAAACTTATCATATTATTTAATTTTTGGTTTGTTTTGACGTTAGTAATAACAGCTGATAAATAGTCATCCTATGTCACAATGTCACTATGTGATCGCTTCGTACAAGGTACAAATAGAGAAAATAATATTTATGTTTGAATAAATATTTGTGCATATATCTAGTCCAGTTGGATGGGAAATGACGATTGATGACATTTCCTATATAAATTTACATATAAAATGGCACCGACCTTCATTTCATGGCCATGGCTGATGCTGTTCCTTTTCGATAATACGGTACTATAAAAACTATTTATATTTTTTCTTTTTTTCAATTTTCTTTGACTTTTTATTATATCTTAAGTTTTTTTAAAATCTTGGTTTTAAGTCAGTAGTGAATAAAACGAAACTTGTGTTTATTTTGTTTAACGATTGAAGCGTTTCGACCATTTTAATTCGGTCTTCTTCAGAATCTATAATATACAATACAATTTTATCACTAACAATGTGTTTAGTATATAATTTTTTCTTACCACAAACGTAGAAAATTATTTATACGTATATTACAGATTCTGAAGAAGACCGAATTAAAATTGGTCGAAACGTCAATCATTAAACAAAATGTAAACACAAGTTTCGTTTTATTTACTACTGACTTAAAACAAAGATTTTAAAAACTTAAAATAAAAGCTGTATATAAATGTTTGTAATGACACTTATTTAGATTAAAAAACTAAAAATAGAAGTTTTGACTATTTTTCATATCTAGCTTTGTTTTTAAAGAACAAATTAAACCCTGTTGAATGATACTAAATTTGTTAAAATCGGTCAAGCTAAGAGTCATGTAGTATATTTTATCCCCATCTTCCACTCTATTCACTAATTTTATGTGGTATGGTTTGGTAAGATCTAAATATATTAATGTGTGTTTGGTTAAGATCTAAATAATATTAATTTCCATCATAAAGCATAAAATATAAAAAGTTGCATAAAAATATATATAGTAATAACACTTTATAATTTTTTGAAATGCTGAATGCATTTGACTAAATTTGAATAAACTTCTCCTCGTCTATGCTCAAATTTATGCTGGTGACGTACTTTCGACCGTCGATCGTGCGATTCCAGTGCGCGGCTACAATCCACTTTCCGACCGGTCGTGCCGCTCGCTCTCGCCGATACCCCTTCAGTGCGCGCGGAGCTTACAAGGAGGAAAAAGAAATCATGGTTACGTACCATAAGAGATTGGACCTACACCGGCGGAAACATCCTTATTCACCAAGCTCTGAAGAGAGAGACATATGCCATATTAATCGCCAACCACAACAGAGAAGGCACCTATGAGGAGGAGGAGTGTGTTCAGTAATTAATATTATCAAGAAATTTTCAACGATAATTGATAATTGATTACAGTTGAGGGTTGGAACCTTTGGTGTTACACAGAAAAAAAAACTAAATCACCACAATACACCAAAACACTTTTACTTTTACACTGGACGCGCGTTTCGCTAACCATGTTAGCATCATCAGCAGATGATTATAAACTGAATAACTGAATATTTATAATTATAAGTAAAAGTGTTTTGGTGTATTGTGGTGATTTAGTTTTTTTTTGCAATTGATAATTGGCTTAATTATAAAAATTACTCTATTTTCGTATTGCGAAAAATCACTTACCTGCTCTTGTTATCCTTGCCACGTCAAACCTACTCGTATAATTGACTTTAAAATAATTTTCCACTATGGCTCTTTCAATTTTTCCTTCTCCATTAATGGGACTGAACAAGTACTCTGGATCAATGTTGTTGTGCATCCTTTGATATCCCGTCATTCCTAGAATGGTGATCATCACGGGGATTATGAGGAAGTAACCGGGATGTTTGCCCACCACAAGTCCCAGCTTGTAGAAGGATTTGTTGAGCAGTTCGTCTACGATTTTCAGGCCAATCATCTGAAAGAAAAACATTTTTTTAGATGTTTTACTTATTCTTTGTAATCCAAAATTGAAGAGAATACGTTGATATATAAATATTGACTTTTGACTTTTTGTTGAATAAAATAAATCATAAATAAATGCCTTTATTGCCAATTTTTTTTTGACAATTTGTAGACAAAGGTAAAATAAACAAACAAAAGAGAATACTAAACATTAGTAAGTATACAAATCCCAACTAGCAAATATAGTTCCCAGTCCTTTTAAAAATGTCACTGCCCCTAAAGTATAGTTCCTAGGCCCACTCTGCCACTTAAAATGTTACTCTATAAGGAATAGTCACTTTGAAGTATATTTCGAGAGTGACCGGTTAGTCCTTACCTACCATAAAAGTGGAAATTAATCAACCCGATTGCAAGTCGCAAACATGTAATTTAAAGAAGTGGCTGGAACTACCCGAATCTTCGAATATGACACCATAAAAGACCAACAACTTTATAGTAACTTTTCAAAGTAGGGGTTACCAACAAGTGCTACCATAATGCCTCCATTAAGTATTTGTTACTTTATAGTAATAATTTAAGTTACGGGGTAGTCGCGGCCACGACACCTAGTTACTTCTAATATATAGTAGCATTGAAAGTAGCAAAATGGTTACTGCTACCTTCCTATGTCACTATAAAGTAGCCGTCGCTTATCCATCCCAAGTAGCAAAAAGAAATTCTAAAAGGATTGAATTATTTTATAACAGTCGAATAGCGTTGTCTTAAGGACTGCTTGAGTTTATTAAGCGTTTGGTTTCGACCATTCTGTTTTTTAATTAAAGTTGTCATATTAAACTATTTTCTAGTGGTTTTTACAACGTATCCTATAATGC